TAACACCATAATTCAGATGCGTTAACTTTTCTTCCATCATCCTTATTCATTGCCCAGCTTTCACATGTGTATGAGGGGATTGTAAATACCATGATTTGGTCAAAGTGCTCTTTAAAACACTTTAAAGAGGTCTTTTGCAGCAGATTTTCCCAATGCAATTTGTCATTTGATTTCTTAACTGCTGCTTCCACAGGCATTGACTGCGGATCCAAGTAAAATGAAATCCTTGTCAACTTCAATATTTTCTCTATTTAAAATGATACATATTGTTTAAGTTGTGAAGATTTTTGTTTTCTTTATGTTAAGGTTCAAACCATATTGAACACTGTAGTCTGATTTATCAATAAGTGCTCCAAGTCCTCTTAATTTTCAGCAAGCAAGATTGGTTCATCTGCATGTTGCAGGTTTTTAATGAGTCTTCCTCCAATTCAGATGTCACATTTCTCTTCACACAGCACAGCTTCCTGGATTATTTGCTCAGCATACAGTTTAAATAAGTATGGTGAATACAACCCTGATGGACACCTTTCCTGATTTTGATCCATGCAATATTCCCTTGTTCTGTTCTAACGAGTGTCTCTTTGTCTATGTACAGATTCCTCATGAGCACGATCAAGATCCCTGGAATTAACATTCTTCGCAATGTTATCCATAATTTGTTATGATCCACCCAGTAGAATGCCTTTGCATAGTCCATCAAATAGAGATAAACATCTTTCTCATATTCTCTGCTTGCAACAAAGATCCATTTGACATCAGCCATGATACTCCTTGTTTCATGTCCTTTTCTGAATCCAAGGAAATGTATAGTTGTTCAGTCTTTCTGATATATTTTAATGGCAATTTTAACCAAGAGGATTTAACCAGATATGTGAACAGGTTTAAAGCATATTTAAAAATATTTTTCAATAGAAATGATGGCTCTATTACTACAATTAATGCAATAAAAGAATCATGTCATTCCGTTATAATGAAATTTTATGTGGCAAGTGGAATGTGGAGTTTGAGAAGATGAGCCATTCTTACATGATGGATTCATTATGAATATTTCCTCCAGCTAGGATGCAGGGTTTAAAGGCTGGGTATCAGGAGATCAGGCAGTGCAACTAAAATGTACACAGGTACATTGCTGGTCTCTTTTCCAGGCTTTCCACTTAAGCAGAACTCCCTTGCTGCCACTTGAGTCTTTTTTAAATGTGATACCTAAACAGTGATGAATGAGACCCCAGAGCAGCATGGTGGTTTGAGCTACAGATGGCCATAACTGTGGTTTAAGACAGAGGCAACATGGATGTTACTGTGGTGGACACTCTTGTTAGACTGGGTTAGAAGATGGTGACTCCACAGAGTGTTCTCTTAAACGGTACTGAAAGGGCACAGAATGGACAATGTCATGGACCTTTTGGACACTGAATGGGTATTTCCTACAGTTAATTATCTAGCAGTTTCTTTCCTCTGAAATACTGACCACATATCTACACCCTGAGGATATGCCAGCCCTGAAATGCTCTTGCCCTTTCTTGTCTGTGTGACTACCTGTACACATCCTAGAGAAACCAGATGAAATGGTGCCTCTTTTGGGACACTCTCCTGGCCTCTCACTCGGGTCAAATAAGCAACTCCCAGAGTACTATATACAACTAAGGACAGCACTATCTTGTTAGAAACATTTTCTGACATAGTAAAACTAGTCACTCTGGATTCTACTCCAAGTCATGATGACCTTATGTGTGTCAGAGTAGAACTGTGCTCCGTGGGTTTCCAATGACTGATTTTTCAGAAGTAGATTGTGAGGCCCCCTTCCAAAGTGCCTCTGAGTGGAAGTGAACCTCCAGCTTTACAGGCAGCAGCTGGGCACATTTGTCCCACTCAGGTACTATGCTGACATGTTGTTGTTGTTGTTACGTGCCGTTGAGTCGGACCCGACCCATAGCGATCCCTCCTTGGGTTTCCGAGGCAGTATCGCTATGGAAGTAGATTGCCCATCTTCTTCCAAGGAGTGGCTGATGGGTTTGAACCACCAGTCTTCTGGGTAGCAGGCAAGTGCCTTAGGCATTATGCTACCAGAGCTCCTAAATATAGTAGGTATTTTATACTAATTTACTGAATGAAGGAATGAATGAACACAATAATAATGAGCTGCCAAGTTTGAACCTCATGTTCTTGAAAACTTGGTATAAAAAATTAGAGATAATGTCACATTTTTCAGGTTCCTAATTGTTTTTGATTCTTCTTAGGAGGAAGACTATGCTTTGTTTTTTTTAAAAAACCAAAGCACAAGATTAGGAGTTCTAAATTTCTCTGATAAATGATGCAAAAAGTTGTTGGACAGAACTACTTCCTTTTTAGCAAATGATTCTGGGGTTGATGGGACACCTGAGAGAAAGAGGAAAAATTTTTTTTTTTCCTTTTCTTCTGCTTGGTACTATAAAGTGTTCAGAAGGAAGGTTGGACAATCTACTTCCGTAGTGATACCGCCTCAGAAACCCAAGGAGGGGTTGCTATGAGTCGGGTCCGACCAGACGGAATGTAACAACAACAACAGAAAATTTTAGACATTCTGTAAGGGGAAGGAGGTCTGCCCCTGTAACCTGGTGGTTGAAGGGGTCTAGGACAAGAAAGTCACAGAAAGATGCCATGGATGGAGCTTGATTTTTAAACTCTACAAGCAGCAACGTCTAGTCCTCATGATCCAGTTTTGAAGTTTTCTTTCTTCCTTTAAATATATTTAACAAATACTGATTGAGTCTCTGCTCTGTTCCAGGCACTGTTCAGGTACCAGTAAGTTAATGAGGAGTAAGATTGACCTGATCTTCACCCTCAAGAAGGTTTCTTTTTAGTGGAATAAACGAAGAAAAAGAAATAAACATAAATAAAATAATTATAACTTATGATAGTGGGAGCTCTGGTAGCATAGTGGCTAAGACACTTGCCTGCTAACCAGATGGCTGGCGGTTCAAACCCACCAGCCACTCCTCGGAAGGAAGGTTGGGCAATCCTACTTCCGTAGTGATACTGCCTTGGAAACCCAAGGAGGGGTCGCTATGAGTCGGGTTTGACTCGACGGCACATAACAACAACAACAACATGATAATGTCATAAAAGAATTTAAAAATAAGGGTTGAAATAAAATGATGGGGTAAGAAACTCATCTTTGATGAAGTGACATTTAGAGTGTAAAGGATAGGAGGGAGCCTCTTATATGAAGACCCAAGGGAAAGAGTTTCCAGGAAAAGGGATGAGCAAGGGCAAAGATCCTGAATAATGAAAAAACATTCAATGTTTGAGGGCTGGAAATAAGGTTTTTGTGTTTGTAAGATATTGAGTGAGGGGAAGAGTGGTGTGGTATGAGGATGATAAGGGAAAGGTAGACAAATCATGTGGAACCCAGTTGTTGTTTTTATGTGCCGTCGAGTCGGAGCCAACTCACAGTGACCCCTCCTTGGTATCACTATGGCAGTAGATTACCCCATCTTCCTTCCAAGGAGTGGCTGGTGGGTTTGAACCACCAGCCTTCTGGTTAGCAGTCAAATGCCTTAGGCACTAGCTACCAGAGCTCCCATGGAACCCAGTAGACATGATAAAAATTTATCCACAAATTACTGTTACCTCCAATCTTTAGAAAACTTCTAATAAGAATACTCTCTTGGTCTTTGGTACATTTTGAGGATTGTGAACTGAGAGACCTGTACACAGCTTGAGCCAAGCTCTATGAACCACCAGCCTTATGGTTAGTAGTCAAATACATTAGGCACTACACCACCAGAGCTCCTTGCGAGGCATGGGAAAGTGTTAATGAGAAGCCAATTGATAAAATGAAGATGATCTGGGAGGAAGATGGTTGAAGTGACAAGCAATAAGTAAGATGGGCTTGTGGCACAGCTAAGTATTCCTTGGAGGGCCTTAGAAAACATTTAAGGATGGGAATCTAGCAAGAGGGCCATTTTGTGATCAGACAAGATGGAGATGTAGACTTTGGTTAATTGCCCATTAAAGGGTATAGTGGGTCCCTTAGGACTGAAGAAATTAAGGACACTGAGGATACTTATTTGTTTGCAGAGCTATCTTCACCACAGGACTATGCAAACTTTGAGAACAGCGATGTCTTTGAGTGTAGGAATTACCTTTCATTCATTTCTATCTTCAGTAGTAGGATGCGATGGAAAATAGTTACTCACTACAAGTGCTCCTAATGAATGGATAAGTGGAGGGATAAATGAATCGCTGTCAATAGATGGAAGGATAGATGGATGATTGTATATATGTATGAATGGATGAAGTGATGGCTGGGTGGACAGATGGATGACCATTAGAGGCAAAATGAAGGTCTATTACTTCATTATCATTATAATACATAGAACCACATATGAAAATAAAATTCTACTTGGTCCCTGAAAATTATTGTACTTAAATCTGAGCTCTGATTCTTACAGAAAATAATACACTGAGTTAAAAAACTAACTCAGCCTGAAGTCTAGCAATAGTGTTCAGGCAATTCAGAATTCTATCTTTTCTGTGAATAGACACTTCTTCCATCTACTAGCCTTGATATCACAAACTGTGCTCATAGCAAATAACAGACACCATCTGTAGGGTTGGCTGCTCTCAGTAACTCCTCAAAGCTGTGTGGGACCCAAAATATCCACATGTGTCCTTAAAAACCCTGCCCCTTGACTATAGTTTTAGGTCACCTGACCTAGGCATGGCCAATTACATGCCTTGTCCAATGAAATTTGTAAATTTTAGATTGAGAACTTGGAAAAGGTAATGATTGAACCAAGCTAATGGCAGAGCACTAGAGAAGTCCACAAGTGAAATTATACTGCTAGATTCCCAGAGCTGCTCTAGCCCCTGACCTTCCAGAAGCATAGTTGTTTGACTTCTCCATGGATTCCACAAAACAGGGACCTGAACTGACTTCCCACAATCATCTCTCAAAGAGATTATAGCCATTACAAGGATTCCAATGATACTGAATTGGGGATAGGGGGACAGCATACCTGGGAAGAGTCACATTTCCTCATCTCCTTCTCCTTCTTTGCTAGACGCTTCTTTTTCTTGTGAAGAGGTTTGGACTCCAAAATCATTTCTTCAAGTTCAAAGGTGGGGTCACAATTCAGCCTGCCTTTCTGCAGGGAAGAAACAGGTTGCTTCAATCCTCAGATTTCAGTATCATCCTAAAATATGCCAGACCTAATATGGAGATAACACTTTTTCCTAACAAAACAGTTCAAGAATAATAGCTAGGATTCCCACTCTAAGTTTTATATAATTTAATGCCAGTATTGTTTTCATCATTCTTTGATTTTATATTTTGTTTCTTTTTCTAAACTTCCAATGAGCCCTCAGTGAATCAACAAGATAACCAAATTATGATTATTTTCCTAAGGTTTGATCTTTTGTGTTATGTTGCTGAAATCATGTGCCAACAATCATGCAGACCAAAGTCATTTTAACTGCTTGTTCAGATTTCCAGTTCTCCATTCAAACTTCCCAAATCAATATTTCTGGACACAAAGCCCAGGAATCTGATTTTTTAACAGGTTACCCAGCTGACTTGGATTCTAAATAAAGTCAAGAACCACTTGTAGGGTTTCAGTTAAGGCACATTATTAATGATAAATCACAGTGGTACATGTAGAAGGAAGAATGGAAGAAACAGTCGGTGGTACCTAGACAGTTCTCCATGAAGAGGTGTCCTTCATGCATGAACCATGGTAAGGCTGCCCTCCTGCACCCTGCCATGTGGACAGGTAAGACCTGACCCATCCCTCCTGTTGCTCCATAAGCATGGCAGTAGGGGCTTCCCACCCTCAGTGTTCCACTCTACTCTGCAGTCTCTCCTCTCTCTCTTTGCACTTTCATGATGTTCATAGGTGCATCATCCTTTGGTGCTTGTACAATAAGTGTTACACTCCCACAAGCCCATTACAAGCACCTTGCTTGGGCTTATAGATAGAAAACTCTGCATTTTCTCTATGGATCCTTTTAGAGTTCATTATTATAACCAATCTACAGCTGAATTCAGGCCCTGGGAAGAGAAAAATAATTAGAAGCTTCATTGGGCCCCTAGCCTATGCTTCAGGACTCTATCTTTTACCAGTGGTCTTCAGTAGGCCTCAGCTGTTCTTGGCTACATGCTCATCCACTGGAATTATTTATTTTTTTGCTATTGGTCCTTTTGAATACAGCTTTTGGGTTAAAACTACTAAAGGTAGAAAGGTAAATGGTAAAAATTAAAACCTCACACCTAATCCTAACAGTTTTCTTTCCACTGACTCTCAGAACACCATAGACACAAATTTCCACATCTGAGAAAACACTTTTTTTTTTAATCAGTAGATTCATGGAAATTATTATTTGTGGGGTTATGCCTTCTTTCCAATAAAAGCACGCCAAAAAATGTGGTTAGGAAACAAAATTCCAGATACAGACAGGCTTGAATTAGAATCTCAGCTCAGTCACTTGCTAGCTATGTGGCCTTTGGTGACTAACATATCCCTTATGTATCTCAGTTTTCTCGTCTGGAAAACAGGAATTTTGCCTCTCAAATAACATTAGTGTGATTATCAAATGAGACAATGTATGCATCTGGCACAACGAGTTATGTGCATGGAATAACAATTAGTATGAGTTGGTTAGACTAGACTCACATTAGGAATAAAACCTGGAATGAGCCTCTTCTGAAAAACTGCATCCCAGTTCATATCATTCATATATGGAAAGTTCTGAACATCAGACAAGTGAGAAAATCGTTGGTCTGGATTGGGCTCAAGTAACTGCCGATAGAACAAAACAGGAAGATTAGGAAGAAGGTCAAAATTTAGTGGGCAAAAAAAATCATTCAAATTCCCTATAAATATTTGGTAGCTTAGTGCCTAAAGCATTTGACTGCTAACCAGAAGCCTGGCGGCTCAAGCCCACCAGCCACTCCCCAGAAGGAAGATGGGGCAATCTACCTCTGTAGTGATACTGCCTCAGAAACCCAAGGAGGGGTCGCTATGAGTCGGATCTGACTCAATGGCAATGAGTCTGGTTTGGTTAGTTTTTATAAGTATTTTCAAGTGATAGAATTGAAGGAAACAAGGCAATGTTTCCCTCCATCCAGCTTCATAACTAAATCATGTAGATAATGCATACATAAATAACGTAGATAATCCATGACTAGAATGAACTGAAAGTAGGATTTGGCAATGTGGTGAAGGAAAATAGCTTGCCTACTAAGTCAGACATATCTTTGATTCTTGACTCCACTCTTTATTAGCTATGGACAAGTTTCAAAATCTTAGTTTACCTATTTGAAAGAAAAGATTAATTGCCTATTTCATAAGGTTGCAACCAGGATTAAATGAGGCCACAAAAATTAGATTATATGACTAATAGATTGTCTATGCATAGTAAGTGGCAAATGTTATTTTTCTATTACAAGTAAAATTCATTTTCCACTTAAACATTTGAGCTGTTTCTAGAACTAATCAAAATACATTAGGAATGTGACACAGATAGGATGTAACTAAGGTTACTGTCATAGTTCTGGCTTTTTCTAACTAAGATTAAAGATTTTTCCCCTTAATTAATCCAGAGTCAACATCAGTATTGTGGCTCAACTAGGAAATGTCTTTTCCACTTCAGAAAGTTCGGAGGTGACAACCATTGAGCATAAGGGTATAATTTTGAGGGGAAGGGCCTAATTTACTTATGGAAAAATGACCTCCTGATTCCTGATTGGTGCAAACGGTTAATGGAAGCAGTCACTGAAAACTGTATGGAGTATAGCTCTATTCCGACACACAGGGTCACCATGCATCACTCTACTTGATTGCAACTCATTTTTCAATCCTCATCTTTACATCATTAATGTTAATATTTCTATCCCAAAACAAGGAATTTTACCCTAAAGACAACAGACACAAGCTTTGAATCTTTAATCCCCAAATTTCTGTCCTTGATCACCTACAACCTGTGCAATCTTTTGTCAGGAAGAAGTCAACTTTTAACTGAAAACCCAGAGAGCATGCTTTCTCGTCTCACTTCTCTTTGCCTTGCATCTTCTTTCTTACCTTTTTAAGAAGCGATATCATTTCCTGTGACCAGGCAGAAGGGTAAGTTACAATAGCAGTCTCGAACATGTGCACTATTTCCTTGCTAGAAGTACTGGAGCGAATATGATATGGTCTCTTAAGGGGAAGAAGAAGTAAGATTCATTAAGTTTATAAGGTAAAAGAAGAAAAATGTGCTTTAATAATATTTCTTAGATAAATTTCAGTTGACAAAATATGTATTTATTATTTTTTATTGTGATTTGGGTGAAAATTTACAGAGGAAATTCACCTTCCATACAGCAGTTCACATACACTTTGTCTCATGACATTGACCACAATTTACCACAATGCAACAACTCCCCTCCTACTTCCTCCCAATAATTACCTCTTTCCTGCATCAACTGACAAAATATTAAAGTTAATTTCTACCCCCTCCCAGATGATTGTGGTGTTATCATATGTGTATGTGGTCCAATGTTGCCAAGTCTTCTACTTTTTATAAGGTATGCAATAAATCTATATTTTCTGGTGAAATTTCTGGGTTTTTAAAAGCTGGTAATTCTACCAGGCCAAACAAAGAATTTCTATGGGTTGCCATCTCTGAGTCGTCATCTTGGAACTATTTTGTAAAGTAACATGTAAAAAAAAAAAAAAAAAAAAAACTAGACAAGTAGAAGTCTTAAAAAAAATATTATTATTTAAGGGCTGATTATAATGAGATTCAGAGTTGGCCCATGCTCTCCCTTTCCTTTGCTTGAGCCATAATAAGAAATGACAAGGTGGCAACTTGCCCAGAAAAATACAAATTCAGATCTTAATGCTGGCTACATGGAGTAGGCCTGAGAATTTGAGGAAGAGGCAAAAGCTTTTTAAAATTTTGGGGACAATCAGGTTTTTCAATAATTTTAACATTCATGACTACATAAAAACTTTATTCATTTGCATTGAGAGTTGTGCTCATCAACAGCAATGAAGCTCAGTACTCACAAGGTGTTGACAGTCCGCCTCAATCATTTGTGGTATGTGCTCAAGAGGTCTGGGTGGGAGAGAGACCCAGACCATGCCTCCAAGGGGAAGCCCTCCTGTGACCCAGACCTTCCTCCCTTTGGGAGGGGTGGTGTGAGGGGGCCCATCAGGTGCCACAGGTTCCACAGATATGCCACAGAAGATGCCTGGCTCCCCAGAGAGAGGAGGACACTACCTGTCAGTCCTGGATAGTCTAGGGCAAGGGGACAGTTGGACATTTTCAAACCTAAACTTCAGTCTGTGGCACAGCACAGATTTCCGTGGAAAAGAACCATTTACAAATATGGTCTTAATTCTTCCAGGCAGAGAGGCACCCTGGACAGATGCACCTCTGAGCAGGACAAAGGAATCACAGAGAATGCTGGAGTCCTTCCAAAAGGCCAAAGCCCCAAATTCAAGAAACAAACACAAAATGGGCAGAGTTTGGATGACTCCAGTCTGAAAACCAAAACAGCATCTGTTAAACAAAAAAATTAAAACAAAACTGTGCACTTGTTACAGTTTTCACAGATTTCCATTAGAGGGCAGCCTTTATTGATGTTAATTTCTCTGTTTGATAAAGGAGTTGCCAATGCTAGGATTTCCTCTTTTTGTAAACTGGGAACTACTTGGAAGCCCTAGTGGTGCTCGGCTGCTAACTGAAAGGTCATTGGTGTGAACCCCCCAGCTGCTCTGCAGGAGAAAGACGTGACAATCTGCTTCCATGAAGATTTACAGCCTTGGAAACCCTATGGAGAAATTCTACTTTGCCCTATAGGGTAGCTATGAGTCAGAATTCACTTTACAGAGATGGATTTTGGGTTTGCTTTGTGATCTACTTAAAGTCAGAGATCATACTACAGTCATATTTTTTTTTGTCTATGGTAACTAGTATCTAACAGTTCAGTAAATGTTTATTGAATGAACAAAGTTGTCTATGGTAACTAGTATCTAACAGTTCAGTAAATGTTTATTGAATGAACAAAGTTTCCATATAAGATTAACCAACTACATGCAAATCCACTGCCATCAAGTCAATTCCATCTATGTCAGTAACCCTACAGGACAGAGAACTGCCCCATAAGATTTACAAAGCAGTAAATCTTTACAGAAGCAGACTGGCTCATCTTTCTCCTGTAGAGCGAGTGGTGGGTTCAAACCACTCACCTTTTGGCTAGCAACCAAATGCTTTAACTATTATGTCACCAGAGCTTCTAGTAGAGTATATGGGGGGAAATTATGAAAACTTCTTAGTCATAATCAAACTCCTTGAGGGAATGATTCACATGGCATGGGGACTCAGGACCATTGTCTTGGGAACTCAGGACCATTGTCTTGCAAGACACTAAGGTCAGTTGGCATAACAAAGACCACAAAGACAATGTTCTACATCCTTCTTTCTTAAGTAGTGACTGGGATCTTAAAAGGTTGGGAGAGGCCATCTAAGGTGCAACTATTGGTCTCTCTCCATTCAGAGCAAAGAAGAGTCCAGAAAATCAAAGACAAGATGCAAGGAGACTAGTCCAAAGGACTAATAGATTATGTGAACCCCAGCCTCTGCCATCCTGATACCGGAAGAACTAAATGGTGCCTGGCTGCCATTGCTGACTACTGTGAAAGGGATCACAGTAGGAGGTCCCAGATAGAGTGGAAGAAAAATATGGAACAAAACTCAAAATCATAAAAAAAAGACCAGGCTTGGATTTCTGGTAAGATGGTGGAATAGACAGATAAGCTACACAGACCCTCTTCAACAAAGAAAAGAGAAACCAATTGAAATAGATACAGAAGATAATCCTGTAGCCCTGACCTTTGAAAGGGAGGATACAGAAGTAGATTAAATGCCAACTAGTAGAAGAACCAGGAGCTCTGGTAGCATAGTGCCTAAGGCACTTGACTGCTAACCAGAAGGTTGGTGGTTCAAACCCACCAGTCACTCCTCGGAAGGAAGGTTGGCCAATCTACTTCCATAGTGATAACACCTCGAAAACCCAAGGAGGGGTTGCTATGAGCTGGGTATGACTTGATGGCACATAACAAGAACAACAACAGTAGAAGAACCTAAATAAAAACTGAATAAGGAGACAAATGGAGCTACAGACTGTCAGGTATCCTGATGGCACAGACAGTTTACCCCTGTTCATCAAGGGCTGCATATACAGCTACACTGGTGCCTGACAACTAAAAAGGGATACAAAAAAGAAGGAGACAAACTGAGCTGTGGATTTTCGGCTATGTGGAGGATTCAGACATTTTGATTGTTTACAAGCAGTGTGGCCATTTTGGATATTTAGAGTGTTAGCTTCAGATCCAAGTGACCTAAGAATAGACTCCACTTGCCAAGGACAGCAAGGCATGGACAAACACACTAGAGGCTGATGACTGCAAAGGTGTGACATTCTCCTTGTTACTCTTTGCTTCATACCCTCTTGGTGAATAGAGGTGTGGACATCACCCTCCTACACTCACCTTTTGGACCAGCAGGAATTCCATCCCAGTCTGTGCTCTGATCAGGCCTGGGTGTCCTGCCTCACCCTCCCACCCTCCAGATATTTTTTTTGTTTATTTGTTTTTAAATTATTCTTTTTTTCATCTTTTTTTTATTGTGATTTGGGTGAAAATTTACAGACCAAATACACTTTCCATATAGCAGTTCACATACACTTTGTCTCACGACATTGACCACAATTTACTACAACATCTCCCCTCCTATTTCCTCCTGATAGTTACCTCTTCCCTGTGTCCATCCCTCCCTGCACTCCTGCCTCCTTCCCCTGAGCTGTCTCCCTGTGCATAAGCAGCCCTTCTTTTTTCCATGATTGTTCTCTCCAAGGAATGTATCTACCTGAGGTAAATGTTCAACTCATATGCCTGTCTACTGTTTGGCTGGAAGCTACAGGTGTGTGTTCAACTCCAGATCTGAAGGACAGCTAGGGGCCATAGTCTCAGTGGTTCCACCAGGCTCTTTTGGGCCAGTAAACCTG